TATATATTTTTTTAAATAAGTCACTTTTCCTTAGTGAATTATTGTTACAATATTTTATCGTTTTTCACATATGATTTTGGAAATTTATTTTTACTGTTTTAACCAAGAGAGCCCAAAATTATGTTCGAATAAGCACTTTTATTCATTTTGCTTGAAAAACATAAATTGAATCCACTATGAATAGATTTTAATCCATTTTCAACTCAAAATTGTATCATTTCATGAAATACAGTAAATCCCTTATTCATTTCTGGATATAAAGCGTCTGCAGCTATCGCATTCAATTCAAAATATGAAAATCTGAAAAACGCATTGGATATGTTGTTTTTTAGCAGTACAAAATAAGCGTCACAACCGTATTTTTTCATGATTTTTTTTTCTCCTTCCCTCTGCCGAAAAATCATTCCATCAGCCACCGTCGGCGATTAACAATATGACAGATGACATTACAATTATTTACGTCATTTTACACACGGCGACATATGAAACATAAACAAATATATAAGTTGATATATAGAAAATATAGTCTAAGGGGGCGTGATAATATGATATTAGTAAAGCACCTACACATCGACCAGGTGCTGTTTAGATTTGGAGTTGTGCAGCTAATTATTCTCTATTCATTAGTGGATAGTTAATTTATTTTGTATTTTTCTTTTCTTTCTATTTTAAGATTGTAAAATACCTAGAGGGCTGTTTACTTTTTATTTTGTTGGTTTTAACTTTTTCCCCAATAAACAGTAAAATACAGATCTATAATCTCTATATTTTGATTTTTTTAAAACTTTTTATTTATATTTATTTATTAATAGCAATCAAGATACTATTTAATCCTATAAGCTATTGTGACACAAAGGAATCGCAAAAAAAATAATAATAATAAAGAAAAAGAAAAAAAAAGAATATAATGAATATAAATTTTAATTTTACCATAATAATTAATGTTCTAAAAATTAATCTATAATAAAATTAAATAAAATATAAGCTTTTACAAAATAATATATAACAGTCCATAAAAATACTACTATCGAGAACCCTTTGAATCCTCTCTCATTTATTAATTTTAAGAACATTAATTATTACTATTTATTTTGTTGGTTTTAACTTCTTCCGCAATAAATTGTGAATTACAGAATTATAATCTCTACATTTTTAATATAAGTTATAATTTGTTATTAAACTTTGTTAAAAAATCCGTATCTTATCTAATAATATCTTTGAAAATTTGACAGGAACAAAACGGCAAAAACTTTGTTAAAAATATATATCGTAAATATATAAAATCCAAACAGTTTTGCAATTGTTTGCTTTAATAATTAATGTGCCAATAATTAACTGAAATTTTAGCTTTTACAAAATAATATACAACAGTCTATAAAAATACTACTATCAAGAAGCATTTAAATCCTCTCTCATGTGTTATGAAAATTTTGAAGTTGAGGACTTCTCAAATAAACTGATCTAAAATCGCGATATTTTAAATATAACAATTGTGTATCAAAATGGTAACAACTCTATGATTTATTTCAATACCTTTGTATTTGAATCATACATTTTTATATAAATGAATAAATCTATATTATTTTCTTGGAAAGAGAAGCGAAGCCTTAAATCATCATCATCTTTTATAAAATTTTATATTTTATACTCAATAAATAAAAACATTCAAGTAGTATACGAACAGTGCATTGAATATTTTTAAATTGCACTGAACATTATATTTAGCTAAATAAATAGGGTATGGCGGGGCAGAAAGTTTCAATTTGACTTTGATCAATTATACTGTGAAATCAAAACAAATTATTTCACTTGGGAGAAAGGAAATTCGAAAAAGTCCATATTAAGGACCACCCTAATATATTTCATATGCCTTTGTACTCCATTGGGGCCCTTCAGTCCACCACGTGGTTACAGAAATTTATTAAAACTCTCCTTCGATAATTCAGGTTGTTGGGTTATAATTTAACCCTTGTAGCTGTGGACTGTATTAAACACCGATTTGTTTGTATATTATGTACTTGTTGCAGTTCTAATTACAATCACTGATTTGTTACTAAGTTATAATGAAAGAAGATATATTTATTTTTATTGGTTATTTACATGTTGTTAAGCGGACTTTACTTTTAGAAGTGAACAACTAGTTCAATTAAACACTCTGCTACCCCCCTACCAGGGATAGCAACCATTTCATGTAAAGCTTAATACCCTGAAGTTTGTCACCTTCATGGCCAATATAATAAAACGAAAAGACGTTTGAACAGCCTTATTGTAATCGTATGAAATATATCCTTAGATGGATTCATTCGTCACCTTCTGTTAACTACCACCACTAAGTGTTTTAAGGGATAAGATTGTCACTGTATATTATATGAACGGTAAAATAAATAGTAATTAAGATTATCTCTTTGAAAATGTTTAAAACAATTGTTAATAAGCATTGATCAATATTTATTGATTGCTGTTTATTTAACTTCCCGTAGGGTAAGTTATTGTAATGGGCTGAAAATCGGAATTGAAAATTTTTACATTTCTCGACATTTCGAAGGTTTCTGAACGTTTTGGCATACCTCAGAAAAAATGGATGTGTGTGTGTGTATGTATGTATGGATACAAATTTCCAGTCACGTTTTCGGGCGCACGGATCAACCAATTTGAATGGTTCAAAAAACATTCGATTCCTATTGATAGGGAGATGTGCTGATTAGTTTTTGGCAAAGACAGGTCCAGCAGTTACTGAGATAAAAAGCAAAGAGTGCAGGAAATAGAAATCGAGTTTTTGAGAGAACGGAGTATCCGATCTGAATGATCTAAAAACATTCAATTAGTAATGATTGGGAGAAGTGTTTATTAGTTTTTGGCAAAGGCATGCCCAGCTATTTCGAAGATACGGAGCTAAAAATGTAAAAAATGGCAGTTTTTGAAAGAACTAAGCGTCCGATTTAAATGATTCAAAGAACTTTCTGCTTGTCTTAACAAAATAATTGATTTTGGAAAAAAATGTTGTTTCAATTTTTTTTTAACTTCCCGTAGGGTAAGTTATTGTAATGGGCCGAAAATCGGAATTGAAAATTTTAACATTTCTCGACGTTTTGAAGGTTTTTGAACGTTTTGGCATACCTCAGAAAAAATGGATGTGTGTGTGTGTGTGTGTGTGTGTGTGTGTGTGTGTGTGTATGTATGTATGGATACAAATTTCCAGTCACGTTTTAGGGCGCACGGATCAACCGATTTGAATGGTTCAAAAAACATTCGATTCCTATTGATAGGGAAAAGAGCTGATTAGTTTTTGGCAAAGGCAGGTCCAGCCGTTTCGGAGATACGGAGCAAAGAGTGCAGAAAATAGAAATCGAATTTTTGAGAGAACGGAGTATCTGATTTGAATGATCTAAAAAGCATTCAATTAGTAATGATTGGGAGAAGTGCTTATTAGTTTTTGGCAAAGGCAGGCCCAGCCATTTCGAAGATATGGAGCTAAATATGTAAAAAATGGCAGTTTTTGAGAGAACTAAGCGTCCGATTTAAATGATTCAAAGAACTTTCTGCTTGTCTTAACAAAATAATTGATTTTGGAAAAAAAAATTTTGTTCAATTTTTTTTTTTTTTTTATTTTTAGTTTTATCAAAAATATTTCAGATTTTATTTTTAATTCTGGCTATAGTTCTAATATACTTTACAAATATTTTCAACTCTGCAATTCAGTTTATATAATTCTCATAAATATTAGACAATGTTACAATATTTATAATAATCTATTTGAAAACATTCAGTATTCCTCGAACATTTCGGTACGGGAAGTTCCAGCAATTTGCCTTAAGGCACGATGCCATAAATGCCTCAAGACAGAATTCCACTTACAGCTAGTTTTTTTTAATTTTTTGTAAATCGAAAATAATTCAGATTTTATTTTTAATTCTGACTATAGTTCTAATATACTTTACAAATAATTTCAACTTTGCAATTCAGTTTATATAATTCTTATAAATATTAGACGACAATGTTACAATATTAATAATAATCTATTCAGTATTCTTCGAACATTTCGTTATGGTACGGGAAGTTCCAGCAATTTGCCTTAAGGCATGATGCCATAATTGCCTCAAGACAAAATTTCACTTACAGCTAGTTAATTTTTAAAAAGTTTACTTATATGGTTCAAACAAATTTCAAAATCTTCTGAAAATATAATTCCAAATTGTTAAACATATACAAAGTTTTATACTTTAAATATAAATTTTTAAATCAGTTTAAAAATGTATATATTTCATTTTGTCTTATTGTAATCGTAAGAAATATATCCTCAGATGGATTCATTCGACACCTCCTGTTAATGCAAACATTTTTAAGTGTTTTAAGGGATAAGATCGAAACTGTATATTATATAAACGGTGAAATAAATAGTAATTATAATTATTTTTATGAAAATATTTAAAACAATTGTCAACAATCAATATTTATTGATTACTGTTTTTTCCCTCATTTTTCTCAAGGCACTACTAGTTTTTAAACATAATCATTGGGATCTAACTTTTGTTCAAATATTGTCTCTGCGGAATTTATTTAAATATTTTATTCTTATATATGGCTACAACAAATATATTTATTACAATAAAAACATACGTGAACATAAAACATTACCATTTTTTCCACTTTTGAATGAAAATATCAATGATAATGAATAGAATCCACGAACCTATCCGCAGATGTTGCGATCCATCGAGCGACCCTACTAAACCTACACATGAGGCGGAGTCGCCTGATACGAAACCGACGCTCGGAGTCGTTTTATATATAAACGGAACGAAGTTACACAGTCGAACGCATTTCAAAAAGGTGCGCGGCCGAAGCAACAGTTTGCTATCAATATCAACAAATTGTCGCCAAAGCTCCACCGAAGCTTTTAAGTTCAGTTCTGGGCATTTCGCTCTCGATTTTGAAATCATAACGGGCGATCGCTTATCAGTTTTATTAACAGAGAGCTGTAACCTTTTGCGAGAGATCTTGTCGAGTGATTTTTTCAAAATTTTAATCTTTTCTCGAAATAGTGAGGCGTTTCAGTGAAGTTTTGGAAATAAGGTAAGCTTTTTCAACTAATTTATGTATATAGTTATTTTATATTCATGGGTGTAAATAATCTCTATAATATTATCTAAAAATTAAAGAAAAACAGTAATTAACCAAACGTATAGTGAAAATATTCTTGAAAAACATTCTTCCAACTAATTTATATATGTATATGATATTTTATATTTATTGATATATTTATTATAAAATGTATTGTTACAAATATTTTCGTAAAATACTTTTTCAACTAATTTATATATATATATGGTTTTTATATATTAATGAGTGAAAATTGATATTGTATAAAAAATCAAGTAAAAAAAACAATATTAACAAAACGTTTTGTTAAAATATTCTTTAAAAATTGATAAATATTATTATTATTGTCGTAATGAATTTTTAAGCCTGTCAGTAGCTTTCCTTTGGGATAGGTAATTTCGACAAATTTAAAAGAAAAATAAAGAAATATTAAAAGGAAATTGAAGATTAAAATAGATATTTTAATTATAATAAATATTATATTGTAGTATAATGAAATAGATAAATGATATGCATATATAAAATAAGAAAATTGTTTCATAATCTCTCATACCAGATACCCCTGTCTAACTGAGATTAATTAAAGTTATCAAATGTAATATAATAAATGCAAAAATATAAATAAATAAATAAATAAATAAATGAACAAATAAATAACTAAACAAATAAAACGTGAATCACAACAAAAGCTTTTTGAGTATAAATTTAACATCAAAAATTATTCTAAATTTTAATATGAATAAAAAATAAAAATAATACATATAAAAAATGATACTTATAAAATTAAATATATAATATTGGAAAGCTAGGGTCTCGCTGTAACCATTTTTTTATTTTTTATTTATTATACACTGAGATTCACTGACTATATTTCTACAAAATTTATACATGCATTAACTATTTCTGTACCAAATGAAATAATTTCCAAAGCTGTGGTCTATAATTTCACAACTAATCATTTTCTAGAAAAAGTGCGGTGTTACAACTTACCCCATGTTTAGAGTTAGTTGTAATATCTACCCTGTTGTTTTATTGTTTATTCATTTAAAAAAAAAAGATTTTTTTCAAGTATTTTTTCGTAAATCACGGCAAACGATAATAAATACAAATGTCTCTTGTAATATGAATTTTTATTATAAATCAACGCAATTATTATCATAATACAACTAAAAAGAATATAGTGTCTCTTGTAACACAATTTACATGTTCCATATTTTAAATTCCACGCAATTTCCAACTCTATAATTTTTTTTACTTCAATGTGTATAGAATTCTTGTATGTTACAACTGGTTTTGTTTCAACTAACCCCAGACATTACTTTTTTTCATTAATCAAAAAAAACGATTTAAACAATTTAGTAATCACAAAATATGTAACATATTATTAAAAATTGATGATTTTGAAATGTAATAAGATAAATACAATTTAAATGGGTCGATATTATTAACGCAAAACGAAATTTATTATGGTACAATTTTATATTTCATGCCAAAAATGACGGATCTGCACAGTTCAGTATATTGCGTCGGCCGAGAAAAAAAAATTATATCATTTAAGATCCTATTGAAAAACGTCTGTTACTACTTACTCCCGTTTCAAATAGCCCCTATATGTAGGAGAGCTACATAATAAATGAAATAAAAACTTATATAGTGATAAACTTCAAATTATTTTAGACTCTATTTGTTATTTTAATGAAAGTTCTAATAATTTTAATGTTATTTTTTTAAAATGATAAAATGATTTAAAATAAATATATTTTTGATATAAATGTAAATATATATATATATATATATATATATATATATATATATATATTATAATAAATGAACATGACATATTATAAATTCTGAAATTTCAATAAAATTCAAATAATATTTTGAAATATACAAAACACCCACCATCGGGAAGTATTTGATTAGCCTCTCGGTGCAGCTTTTTCCTTATGAAACATTTAGAGAAATACGAAATCTCATCTCGCTTTAAATCTAAACCATAAATATAATGTTATGTTTGTAAACATCATAAATTTTAAAACAATACACTGATTAATATTTTCACCCAGAAAACACGGCGTTCTATAAACACTCGGATCGTTTTCAACTTTAATTGAAAAACTTGGAAAAGTAAAACCTCAAACGCTGAATAAATAAAGATATCGCCGATATTCATTAACTCTTCAATTAATTAAATAATCCGCCAACGATTTTTTTGAAGACCGATAGATAAATATTTGCTGAAACAGATTTGTTTTTAGTTTGAAATTGTCACATCTATAATTATAATCCCAAATGAACGATATTTTTGCAACATATTCACTTACTATATATAAAAGATTAAAAATGGTTTATTCTCAAATAATAAATTTTACAAAGTGTTAAATCAAGTTAAATATAATTTAAAAAATATTTCGGATCATAATTAAATATGGTACATTGTTCGAAATAATGAAAGCTAAAAATAATATCTTGAACATTATAATGAATTTCTAATTGAGTTAAAAAACATATTTTGCGTGTATATTCCCGAAACTTTTGCAAGATAATAAGTAAAAAGTACAATTAAATATTTCTATACCCAGGTGAAAATACGGTAATTAAATGCTGTATCATTGGAATAAAATATGAGACTATAAATAAAAAACAAATTATTTTGTAGTAAGTAATTTGACAAAAAATATATTTTTGATTTTATAAAAATTAGTAATATATTTTTGTATTATCATATATTTTGTTTGTAACTATTATAAATTTTGACGTCATATATGACGACAGTATAAATCGTAACTTGAGAAAGTCAACAATTTATATAGAAATTAACTATTTGGTCATGTTCTTTTTCAGTAGTTTTCCTATATATGTATATATATATATATATATATATATATATATATATATATATATATATGTAGTATCCTATATATAAAAGAGATCAGATCAAATATTGATCATATATAATTTTCTGGAACATATACGTATATCTCAACGTTTGCCTTGATAGGTGTAGGTACATATTGTTTTCAAGAGCTCAAGTTCCTTTTAGATATCAAATTATGTGATATCCGATGCCTATAATAAGTTTATTATATGATGGACCGATAATAAAAAACAGGTTATTATTATTATATGTGGATATAACCATCCTGATGTAAGAATGTAACATAAGTATTCTGATGAGTTGCCTACTTTAAATTTGCCACTGGTAATTTCTGATCATAACATATTATATTTTGAGCTATAATTTTTATTTTGCTTAAAATGCTAATTATCTTTAATGTCATTCCTTATATAAAAGTCGAGGTTTAATAAGAAATTATTTGATATCATGTTGATGTCGAATTAAAATGATTAATTACTTCTTACACATAAGTGATTTTGATGCCTATGCCTACACAAAAAATAAGCGATTATGAGCCCCATGATAAATTTTTTAAATAATATGCGATCTACTAAATATATAAGGTAGAAAGGTGCACAAAGGTTCAATTTGACTTTGAGCAATTGTATTGCGAAATCTAAACCAATTATATCCCAAAAATTAACACATATCAAACAAACATCTGACTATATTCAGTAAAAGCTCCCAGCTCAATTCATAATGGTAGAAATGAGTTTATTGCTGTTTTTCAAAAATTTGCCATCTGGTCCTTTTTACCCCGAGGGTGCAAACAGTTCCAATTTCTAATTTTTAATTTTAATGGGATTTTAGAAAATAATTATTACCCGTGGACCTTTAAGGTACATTATTCGGCCAATGCAAATTAAAAATTTGATCGGTACTTTGTTTTACAGAGATAACACTGTTATGCAACCTTGATCTAGTATTTTGTCATAAAAAATCATCAGCGTTGGAATAATTATTTATTTAACTTAAAATCTTTATCTTTTATAAAATTATTTTTTTAACTTAAAACTTTTTTATTTACTATTTATCAATGTTTACACATTTGCCAAAGTAAAGGTCCTTTGGTCAGATGGTCCTTTTTTACCCCACCCACATGTAAGTTTTTATAGAGGTTATTTAAAAATAAATAACAAAACATCTTATAAAACATTTAAATAATATAGACATACAAATTTTATTATGGTCTCGTAAACTAAATAACAGTGCTCACAACAAAAAATAACAATAAAAAAAATACATTTGCTACGAATTTTCAAACATTAAGGTGAATATTACTGTTAAAATTCTGAAACATTAAGGTGATTGCCATATTTTCCCCCTACTTTCAAATATTGTTGTTATAAAATTTTTAACTTAACTTAATTTGTTTTTGGGGTATCGGCGGTGGACCTTCTTACCCGTAAACCTTTGAGTCCCGAACTACCCTACACTAAATTTTTTAAAGAAATGTAGAAAGAAATTATATTAAAGTTTTGTGAGCTAAATAACAGTGCTCACAACAAAAAAATAACAATAAAAAAACGATATTTGCTACGGATTTTCAAACATTAAGATGATGAATATTACTGTTAAAAAATGAAACATTAAGGTTAAGGCCATTTTTCTCCCTACTTTCAAATATTGTTGTTATAAAATTCTTAACTTTACTAATTTTTGAGATATCGGGGGTGGACCTTCTTACCGGCGGACCTTTAAGCCCCTGCACCCTATCCTAAGTTTCTTTAATGAAATGTTTAATATAGTAATGATTTAAAGGCGTAAAACCTGCCAACAAGATTCTAATTCGAATCGCATTAAGATTATACCCTTACATACCCTTTGCAATCGTTTGAATAAATAAGAACGAATTTGCCTTGCGTCTTAGTATTTGCACAAATTCCATTACGACTATACTTACTGAGAGTCAATATACAAGTAATATACTATTTTGCTCTTTACACACTATTTTTATACTTACTTCCTTGTGTAAAGAAATATCCGCAAAAGCAAATTTGAACAAGGCGACACCAATGATAGAGACGTATGAGTTCGACTTATAAAAGTCATATTTGGAAAATAATATCATAGA